CCTGGATGCTTATCCCCAGGTGGACCAAGAAGGCTTCATCCTGAGTATGAAATAGAAATTTACCTTACAATACAACCACATGTTTATCCACTGGGTTCCCTCCTTCCCATTTTCCTGGATGCTTATCCCCAGGTGGACCAAGAAGGCTTCATCCTGAGTATGAAATAGAAATTTACCTTACAATACAACCACATGTTTATCCACTGGGTTCCCTCCTTCCCATTCTCCTGGATGCTTATCCCCAGGTGGACCAATTGTCAGTTGTAGCAGGACCAGCCTACGTGGGATCCTCCTCATAATACCGGGTTTAGGATTACTCTACCTGGTTCCCATTGTTAAGTGCAGTGGAGGGCCCCCCCTTATTGTTAATTCTGGTAGCAGGAGGTTTACTTCCCTGCTCCTCTGGTTGAGCTTGGGGGACTTTGTCTACCTTGTAATACCGGCAACAGGATGTATGTACACTGTTCCTACAATTGAGCAAATGTTCCACGTCCTCCTCATAATTCTGGGTGCAGGATGTGTCTTCCATGCAGTTACGATTGAGTGAGTTACAATTTCTGCTCTTAATACCGGTTACAAGTATTTCCCTATTTTACAGTTGAGCTGAGACAATGACACATCCTGTAATGCCAGGTTCTGTTTATTATACTTCTTGCTCCTACGATTGTTTTGAGAGTTTGTCTGGTTTTGCCTGAATGCTAACTTCCTCTTTGTAATTCTGGTTGCTTGATGTATGACAGTCAGTTTATTACAGTTGAGGTTGGTGTGTGTGTGTGTATATATCATATGGTTCATTTGCCCTAACCACAATGTTTATGTTACTCTAATTTCGTTTTTATTTGGTGATCCTCAACCTCCTAATGCCAAGGACGGGTTGTGGAACCTTGTCCGGTTGAGGTTGGGTAGATACATAGCTAAGGCTAATTGTTTTTCTCCATCATTATATTTCAGAGAAACATACTTGTTCTAGAAGTAGTGCGGTGCCCGTATGTGTTCTTTGGTTTCATCTCCGAGCACACCAGTTTTTTCTAGGTGTTTGCTTTCCACTTAGTTTCACTGTTAAACACCTACACTGGCTCCTCCACCTTTCCAATGTGGAATTCTAGCTTTGTGTGAAAGGAGATAAGGCTGTATTGGAAGTTAACGTTTTCTTACACTGAAAATGTATTTCTGATAGATACTTACCTCCCCTTTCCCTTCCTCCCCATTGCCAGTGCTATTTATTTTAGATTCTTCCAATTCTTGAAAGTGAGGATTGACGAGGAACATCAGAGGGAGCTAGCTTCCCCAATATTGGTTGTGCAATACTATTGGTGGAGGGTGGTCACATGCTATGTACATGTTTAAAAGTGGCACAAAATTTGTGGGGTATATAGACTGGGCAGAAAGAAGATCATGATAGCTTTGTGTAAGTAGAGGTAAGTATGTATCAGAAAGACATTTACAGTGTAAGAAAATGTTAACATTTGATGGTTGATTCTGTATGTTTGAATCTGTTACTTTGAACATGAAACTTAGGGTTATACTGCTCTTTTTATCCTGTTCACACAAACAATATTTATCACTGAGAACCACAGAGTAAATTAACAAAAAAAAGAACATTTTTAGTAGTATGTCTTAAATATTGTATTTCAACCATATGCTGTTATAATAGATGTCAGAGTTTATGAAATTAAATTCTCACCAAAACAAATGTTAAGGATAAGTGTTAAGAGTTTTAACATGGTTGGTAAATATTTTTTTGATCAGAAAACAAGTTATTTTGTAGCATTTAGATACTGAAAATAACATATGTAGCTGTAATGAATAGTAGTAATTTAGTTGATTATTCTGTAGTAAATGTATCTGTTTGAAGTAACAAACAGGTTAAGATTAATTAAAAAATAATAATAACAGAATGAGAATAATAATTGCTCACCATTCTACTGATATAAACTAATAACAATGAAAAATAACTATATGAAAAAGGAACTTACATTACCAAACTCTGTGTTGAATTTTTCTTCAGGGTTTTTTAAATTTCACATGTAACCTGGTTCTGTAAACATTCTTTTAGAGTTGGAAAGTAATTTATTGTTTGCATTTTAATTAAATTACAGATTATCATTGAAGTACAGAATAACAGTTTGAGAAAATTAGATCTTTTTAAGATAGATAATTATAGAAGCATTTTTCTTTTTTTTTTAATTGACATTTCCTCAGTCTTTTACCATTATTTTTGTAGAGGGTGTTATATTACTTATTTAAAGTTTTGCATTTTGTTTTATCTGCATTTAGAATATTCTAAACAGTAGAGTTGCTTCTTGTAAAAATTCGCTATTAACGTTTATATTTGAAATATATGTTTTTATACATCATTTCTTTTTCTCTTTTTGACTTAATTATATCCTGCAAATAATTAATATTGAAATCATAAAGAAGTATCACGTTTGTGTATTTTTTTTACAGCATTATTTGAAAGTTTTTTGTTTGTTTTTTTTCATTAAAGCATTTTAAAGATAGGAAATTTTCGGAAGATTCCACACTTTCTTCTGCAGTTAGAAAAGTGCTGGAGATAACTTGGATGATAATAGCTACAGGTTAGTGAACATTTATATGTAGATATAATATACATTAGTTGGTTACGTGATAAAAGTTCTATATTTAAAGTTGTAAATATTCTATAATTATGTGTTATTTTAGAATTGACAACATCTGATAATGTCATATTTTACATGTTACCCATAAGACACTCTGTATTAATATTCCAATGTCTATTAAGCCTTCCTGTGTACTGTGTATAAAGAACCAAAGTCACTGACAGTTAGCTTACAAATTATTGAAATGTTTTGAGAAACAGCTAAAGAATGTGATGACTTCTAAAAATTTTATAAGTTGTTGTTATTTTATCTATTATCATTTTATATTTCTTTCTCAACTAGTTGCTTCACAGTTCTTATTTTGTATTATGAGCAAATACTGCATGTAGCTGTGAAAAAATTGTGCAAACTTAAGTGATCATACATCTGGTTAATGATAATAATATTATGTGTCATTACATATCAATTAACATTTAAGGGATAAAAAGAGGTCTGTTGGTCCACTGAGGCTGTTCCATCCACTTCAATAACTGAAATCCAACTTTAAGACAACAAAAGGTCTGTTGGTTCATCAAGAAGGCCCCATCCACTTCTAAAACTGGAGTCTAGATTTAAGAGACAAGAGACCTGTTGGTTTATCGAGACTGTCCCAACACTTCAAAAACTGGAATCCAACCTTGATTGTTTAAATGTTTATCAAACCTTCCCTTAAACTCCCTTAACTTTGCTACATTCACCACGTTTTGCAAATTTGGTTTTTTATATACATTTCTCAGGGATAGTTTATGCTATCGGTAGAAGTTCTGAGTAACAATATCCATAAAGAATATAAAGTGATATGAAATATTTTTTAAATTAATTCTTTCTAGCTAGGAATGCTCTCCTGGTGCTGATCTGTGGTGGAGTAGCAGCTATTCTTCTAGCTTACAATTACAAACCATTCACACTGACCAAAGATGTTCCTCCAGGACTACCTGGATTTCATCCGCCAGCCTTTTCCTATTATGATAATTCAAGCAATGCAACCTTGCACAAGAATTTTATAGACATCTGTAAGGTAAGTTCATAGGAGAGAAATTATCTAATAATTCACTTAAACTAAATGAGATGTTAATCCCATTAGAATGATAGAAGAGTTACCATACTTAGGAACATGCTTACATGTAAAATTGAATATTAAGGCTTATGATAAGTAACAATTTAAAAGAGGATCTAGTTAGGAAAACCCACAATCGCATACCACAGTTTTATGTAAGTGGAGAACTACGTCACACGCCACAGTTTTATGTAAGTGGAGAACTATGTCACACGCCACAGTTTTATGTAAGTGGAGAACTACGTCACACGCCACAGTTTTATGTAAGTGGAGAACTACGTCACACGCCACAGTTTTATGTAAGTGGAGAACTACGTCACACGCCACAGTT